TGCATTTTTCTTAAGTTTTTGCTTTGTGTTTTGTCTCCTCTTGAATTTGTTTGCCACCGAGACAGTTTCATTCAAGTTTGGGGGAGAGTGTGTGTTATTTGACATGTTTTCTTTGATCTTATTTTGAGTTATCATGCTTGAGTCTTGCATTGCATCATCTAAGGCATAGAAAATACAAAAGAATCATAAAAGTTTCAAAAAAATTTCAAAAAAAAATCATGTAGTTTGCATTTGCATTGTTAAATATTGTAGGATTGAGTCTAGAATTTTTAAACATTTAGGTTGTTTGCATTTGCACTTGCATAGGGAGCAATGATGAAAAGATTTTCTTAAAAAAGTGTTTTATGCTCATGAATTAGTTCAAGGCCCTAGTTAGTAGTTCTTTGATGCATTGTGCAATCTTTGAAAGTAAGTTCTTACCATACTTGGATCATTTATTTTGATTTTTGTGGCTTAAGTTGAACATTCATGAATTGAATCCTTTCCTACTAAGTGAGAACCTTAATTTGACTTTTGAATTATCATACTTATGCATTTGAGAAAGGATACATGGATCAGTTATACATATTTAGGCTCTCTTTTTCCTTTTTTACCACTCTCTTGTGAACCTAGATAGAACTCCCCACCTTTACCCTTACCTTCCTTTCAAGCCAATGTTCTTGTGTGTTATCATTGTGAGGCCTCTTCTTTCGGTTGAACTTAGCATAAAGTGTTACGTTTAGGCAACATGAATAGGCTCTCATTTGATTGCTAGCTTTGCATTTTGAAGCTAGTTTTAGGCTTTAGGATAGGATGGGATCGCTTGGGTGTTGATGATTATTGCTTACTTGTTGCGGTTTTACAAAGAGTTGGTGTTTTGGGATTTGATCAAAAGGGTTACATGGTTTTAAGTGGAAGGCCTTGTTTTAAAATAAAAGCTCATGTTTGAAAAGAAGATTGCTCTCAAAAAGAAAAGATAAAGAAAAAAAAAAGAGATTGCTAAAAGAGCCAAAAGGCCAAGTAAAAAAAAGATAATGAGAGAGGGTTTCAGGATCATTGTTAGTGTATATGGGTAGATGAGAGTCTAGTCATAAATGCATCAATTGCCTTTACCTTTAACATTATGCATAAATTTCAACCATTTCTTGAGATAAACAATTGCTTGGAATACCCATTTAAATGAGATTATTTTTATCTCATAACCTTTGTCCCTTAGCCAAATGTATCCGGTTTTAAAGTGCATAAGTGTGATTCACGGTTTTGAGCTTAATGAATGTTAAAGGTTAGGATTCTTGGATTATTTGGGATATGAGAGTCATGATTTGAGATTCAACATGTGATGAGTATAGCTAAGTCCTTTGGAGTATGAGTTTGTATGTTGCATCCTAGAATTAAGAACTAGGACATTGAATTGATTCATTTGAAAAACACTTTTGCAAGAAATTTGAGCTCCCACTTTCAAACCTCTCTTCGTTTCTTGAATTTTGTTTGCTTGAAGGCAAGCAAAAGGCAAGTTTGGGGGAGTTGATATACTCTTATATTTAGCATATTTAGCATGCATTTAGTGTAGTTTTCATGCATACATCTTGCATTTTAGGCTAGTTTGCACTATTTTAGGTCCTAGAGCACTTTTGCATTAGCATTTGCATGTTTCTTGCATTATTGCATCATATTCAGGTTGTTTTGGACACATTGGAGTTGTGGAGAATTCATGGACGTGCTAAGGATCGAGAGGAAACTTGTGGACACTTGGAGAACTCAGCCATTCAGCAAAGGAGTCGGGATCGAGCCGCATATCGAGCTAGGCAGGTCGATCTAGACGAGATCGACCAGAAGATCGAGTGACTCAAGTCTTTTCAATGACGAGGATCGAGGATGAGATCGAGAGAAGAGATCGATCGTGAGTACGGACGTGGGCCATGCCATACAGAACGAGAGCCAGATCGAGTTCACGACTCGATCGTCAAAGGATCGAGTAGAAGATCGAGCAAAAAGGAAACGATCCACCAGAAGATCGAGCTAGAGTTCGATCATCCAACTTGATCTCTGGGACCTTATCCGGCCAGCTCATTTTTGGCATGTAGTGAGGGGACCAATTGGTTGTTTAGCCATTTTGGGCAAAGAAGAGACATCACTTTTCATTATCCACGCTTTGCCTTATCCTTTTACAACTTTCTCTTAGGCTATTTTTTGCCATTGCTAAACTTTTTAAGCTTTTCTTGTTTTAAACTTTTGAATCTTGGTTAATCATTAAGTATTTCCTTAATCACTCTTGATTAATCATGTTTAGCTTTCCTTTCTTTGCATTTGAATCGGTTTTAATCATGTGTAGTGAGTAGATTTCTTTGGATTTAAAGGTGGGGCGATTCAAGGGTTTAAAGGTTTAAGCTTTTGGGAGTTTTTCTTGTTCTTCACTTATTCTTTTCTAGGATTTGGGGTCTTAAAGCTTAGAGAGTCTTGGAAAAGATCTCTATGATTCCAGGGCTTTCTTATCTTGACCGGATCCAGAAATCCCCTAAAGCCAAATCCTAGAGGCTAATCTACCCTCTCCCAAACGCCATGGTTGAAGAGGAAGTTAGGTAAGCCACTTGTTGAGATTTGTAGTTCATGCTCTTCGATCTCTTTTTCCACCACAAGCCATGGATTTGGAGAGGAGATTGAAGAAGGGATTCATACCAAAAGCCATGGATGAGTCTATTTCAGTTTCTTAAGGCTTAGAGATAGCACTTCAAAAGAGTAGATTTATGTTTTCAAACCCAAAAGCTTGAATCTTGAACCTCTTGAATATGACCCTCAATCTTAGATCCTCCTTTTAGCATTTTAAAACTCTAGTTTATCTTTTCCTTGTCATAAAGTCTGCATCTTTAATCTTTAAAAGTCATTGTTCTAAGTTGCTAGTAATTCTCTGTTTATCTGACTTTAGTTCTCGATTTTTAGTAATTAGTAGTTTTGCATTTTAGATTCTCTTTTTCTTTTAGTAGTTGTTAACCCTTAAGAGAGATTTTTAAAATAGTTTGCGTAGTCATTCAGCACTTGCATTTAATTTTTATCGACTTTACCATTCGTTTACCCAATTTCACTTAGTTTGGTTTCACTATTGCATTCTTAGTGGCTTTCTACAACCTAGGCTGGATTGACACCTTAATTGCTACAATGACATGAGTAGCTTAATGTTTTGATAGTTTGCCAAGAAAAACTTTATTATCTTTGCTTCGTAGCATTGATCATATTGACCTTTTCAAAACCCTTGCAAAAACATTTTTATCAAATGGTTCCGTTTTCCAGCCCTCTATTGCTTCTTAATCATCCTCTCTTATTTTCTATAACACAAAATTGCAGAAAGTAAAAGCACACACGATTTATCCAGTTCAGCGCAAATTGCAGCCCTGCCTCTGGTCGAGATCACCTCGGAATACACTAATCACTTTGCTTATACAACTCCGCCGTCTCTCACCGGAAAACCCCAATTCACTCACGAATCTCTCTCTTTTTCCTCTCCATACAATGATTCTCTCACCCGAAAATTCAATTGATCGAATTAAACTACCCAACAAACCCATTATATACTGTTTCCCGATTACAACAACCTGTAACGGAAACTAGCTCGTGAAGCTCACTTGCTGTAACAAACTTCTCGGAGCTCGGGGATTTTTTTTTGTTTCTTCAGCTTAACGACGACGTGTGTAGACAAGCACTTAACCACACCAAATTGAGTCTAAACCGACACCAATTTCTGGTTAACTTCAATCAGCTCCAAATTGAATCTAAACCGACACCAATTTCTGGTTAATTTCAATCAGCTCCAAACCGGATGACTGATTCAAATCAGAGACCAGGAAATGTTGTTTGCAGGGCGTAATAGTAAGTTACATGACAAGGAAATGTCGCTTCTAAAAATAAATAAAAAATGTCGCTTCTACCATATACTCGGTATGGTTATTCAGTTGCAATTGATTGTCGTTCAGATTCAGATAATGACTCAATTATCAACAGCTGATATTATGTAACTGATAATTAGCTGATTGTTCATGTTGTGCATCTTCAGAGAACTAATTGCAAACGGATAGAGAAATTAACTTACATGGACAATTACAAAAAAAAAAAAAAAAAATTAACTTACATGGAACAAAAAAAGTTCCAAACAAAAGGATAGAGAAATTAGCTTTTATATTTTTTTTCAATGACCGAGAAATTATCCAATACCCCTCTATCCCTCATATATCTTTTTTATATAATCTCTCCAAAAAAACACTTCAGTAAATTTTTGAATCATTGTTTGTGATTAAAAATGGATGTAAAATCTCCGATCAAGCCTTTTTCACAACTCTTTGTAGAAAATGTTGTTTGATTTTGAATTACAATGGAGTTGATTTAATTTTCACAATAACATGGAATTTTATATAACTTTAAAAAAACATAAATTTTATGTTCAATAACATTAAATTTGGTATGACATTTAAAAATTCTTAATTCAATAACATAAAATTTTAAAACAACCATCAAATCTTATAAATTTCCGTATTTAATAGACCTTTATAAAGGGGTATATTAAGTCTGTAATTTGAAAGCATTTGAAAACTTTTTAGTTTTAATAGAAATTTTATATAATTTTATGTGGATTGAGGTAAATTGTTATGATTTGATATTAAAATTATATAAAATCTAACTTAAAACAATATATTTAATTTTTTATATTTTTAACTAACAAACTCTGTCAAAATCATTTTAAATCACTCAATATTTTCTAAAATTCACTATTTAAAATATTTTTGATAACAATGGATTTGATTTACAAATTTTTGATTAAATAACATAAAACATTACATTTAGAAATTTTTACTTGAATGTTAAATCATTACTTGAATAACATGAAATTTAAAATAATCACAAAGTTTTCTAAAATATTAGTTTCAATATACCTCTAAATTTTTTTTATATATAGGCAATCTATCAATTTCTAGTCATTATGGCATATGATTAGGGTCTAAACTAACCCAAATAAATTTAGTTTTGAGATGGAGAGAGAACATGATGATGAGTTTTTATGATAAGCTTGTGAGTAAAATTGGGTTGAAAATAACCAGTTCAATGGCTTAGTCATCGAATAATCTACAAAATGGTCGTTTTGTGAAATTACGTATGATTGGGTTGACAAATTTGCCAACAGGCACAAAAGTCAGACAAAATAACCGGCGTCGTTTAGGAAAATACGGTCACAGGGAGATTGTAGTGAAGACGTTTTGTTAGCTCTCGAGCTTTGGCTCTGGTTTGAAGGTGAAATCCCCAGCGTCCTCGTCCGCCACATCACTGCTTAAAGGCAACGACCAAACCAAACATTCAGAAATTTATTACTCATCAAACAAAAATACCCAAATGGAACAATATTCTGTCTATAAACCTGTCTGCTGCTTCGGATTTGGGAATCAACGTGATCTTCTTCGCCGTGAAATGTTTGACGAAACGAGACAACTTCCTTTCTTGGCATAACTCGTATAGATGATTCAAGAACTCATTGAATTGCTTTGGCTCCTGAGCACATATGTAAAGAAACATATCCATGACAATGGAGTTAAAACAGAGGTTATGCTTTAGATAGAGAGTCACATGTCTGAGATAGGGAGAAAAGGAGATGTGAGACCTGTTCCAAGACGCAGCCTTTGCGTAGAGCGAACAAACATTCCAATGCCTTATCACCTTCATCAGTACTATCTTCTACGAGCTTCAATATTCGGTTTTTCATCTGACTGATTGCTTTATCGATCCAATCATGGTTATCTCTACGAGATATCATAGCTTCGAAATCTTGAATTGGGTTTGCATCTCCTACTGTGTCAACTCTGTTCTCACCGGCATTATAAGTAATCATGAGATTGTCTTCATCATCCGAACCCGATGGCTTATCTCGCAAGAATCTCTTAGAAGTCTTTTTCAACTGCGGTTAAAGTAATGTAAAAGAATCAAGAACGATAATTTCAGGTTCCTTTGGGTTCAAGGGAACAAACCTTTGGGTTCTGCTTGACTTCAAAACTTCCACGAAACGCATCCATTATGGATTTGTTGTTGGAAGAAAGCTCTGGATTCTGCTCCATAATCTTCTTGAAAGCTTCATCCATTAGAGGTAAAGCAGCGTCCGTGGATCTTGATTTCAACTCAAGGTATTCATAAAAGCGCTGATAACAAAATCTTTCATCAGAACGCGTTCGGATAAAACTATCAATAGTCAGAAGCAAGAAAAGAAAAATGGTTTTTACCTGCAAAACCGGGTTAGGAGTAAGCTCAGGCTTTAATACTTCCTCTTTATCAGAAGGTGTAAGGTCAAGCATCTTAACCAAATCATCTGCCACTGCTTGCTGTTGTTCATCTGGCTTCCACGACGCAGGGAATCTGCTGAAAGAAGGAAACGGAAACTCACGGACATCCTCGGCGAAAGGTAGCATGTTGAAGTAGAAAGAATCAGGCTGCGGAAACAAAAAGGGTAAATTTGATCATCAATTCAAGGTAGCCAGATTCAAATATAAGTGTTTCTATGAGCTCTGATAACTTACGGTGTCATCTCGTTCAGAAACATTTGGAGTCAGGACCCCAACAACCATATTCCCTTGTCCATTTCTCCAGACACAACGTACAATTGCCACCTTGTTTGTTTGCTTCATTTCTCTCGCAATGGCAGAGACGGCAATAACTGATTTTTCTTTGCTCGGGTCAGGAACAACTATGTTCACGTCTTTCATGTAGTAATGTCTTCGTTGACATGCAGAGAAAACACACACACAAAAAAGAAGAAAAACATTCTCTGAATTGAAAAGGCCAAGAAGTTTACAGTGAAACCTTAAATATATGTATGTATGCTTACCGAAGTATGTTTGACGCATCAGCAAATCCAAGAAGCTTCATGCCTTTCTCAGTTTTGAACTTGAGTGTTTCCATCTCCTCTGGTGATATAGGAATAACATGAGGTCCATAGCGAAAGCCCTTGATCCTTTCTTCCGGAGCAAGAACGTCACTAGTTTCTGCAGTAACTTTGTAATCGTAGTCGATTTTCACTTCATGTTTAGCAAAGTTGTCACTTGGAGGCGCCTTGTCGGAATACATTTTCAGTGTGGGAAGTCTCTCCTCAGAAACTTTTTTATAAACCCACACCTGCAAAATTCAAAAATCCAAAACCAACATCCTCAGAAACTTTCTTGAACAAAATATATCCTGAAACATTGCACACAAGCAAAAGATACAAACACACAAGTGTTACCTTTATCTTCATTGTTGGGTTGATCTCAAGGTCACCCCTGAACAGAGTAACCGGAGCAACTCTCCGCGTCTTTAAGGAACCTAGCAGTGAGAGTGGACTCTCGACATACACTGTCTTCGCAATCGCGTTGCTTGAGAATAGATTCAACAAATGATCATTCTCCTCTACTATTTTCTCATCAACATCACCGTTTGCATTGGCCCTCATAACAATGCTTTCCATCTTTATACCTTCCGCAGCCATTTTCACAGCGATGGTACTGACTTGCTCGTCTTTCGTCCCTTCGAATGGATCTTTAGTAGGACAAGCCGCATTCGTAATGAGACACAACTGTTTCTTCCCTTTTTGCGCAGCACCATACATCTTAATGAGCATATCCATGCCAACAATTACAGCATCAAGAACTGAAACCAGTCAAAGAACACAAGGAGAACAAGAATAAACGAAAGAAAATTTCAGAAGCAGCAAAGATTTAGCTAGCAGGATACAGTCTCCAGCTACGGTTCCTCGAGGTAGACGCTTTACATTATCAACCACGACTTCATCAACAACTCTGATAGTTCTTAAAACCGCAACATTGTCATATCCACCTATGTCCTTAGCAAGCTCATTTTCGGTTTCTGCATAAATCACATGAAACATGATTTATAAAAAAAAAAAAAAAGTATAACATATAGCTGATACAGCATATGACAGATTCGTAAATTACTAGTCAAAATGTAACAACATTTAAGTCATTATCAAAGGCAAGAGATTTAATCAGTAAAAGAAGAGACAAGAGACCTTCAGTTCCAAAGACAACAATCCCAACTTCATCATACTTGTTGTAAATCAACTGCAACAACACACAAAACCAAGCTACAGCAATGAGATATCCAAAAAAAAAAAAATGCTCAAAATTTCAAACCTTTCCATTAAATAAAAAAGAAGAATGATGTAAGCAACGAATTTCAGAAGAAATGACAAAAGATATCTGTATTTACCTTCTTCTGCAGTAGCAATGAACATGTCTTTTCAACATGAGGGAGTATACTATGCATCGCAGGGCCTACATCGAGCAACAAAACTAACCCCTCCTGCTTCGAAGAACACACAGAATCAGTATCCAGAATCGAGCAGACTAACTTCTCAAGTGAAATGAAAGATTTCAAAGCCTAAATCACTACAAGAACACTTCGGAGATGAATTTCAACAGTAAACAAAAACTCTAGCAAATGTTTAAACCCCGATGTTGATTGACAAGGGAAAATGCATAAATCGAAGTCAAAATCAATTTTAACAGCATTTCCATATTTACATATGTAAGCTATGAAAATAAAATAAGTATGCATGAATGGAGAACAACTTGAACGAGAACGAAACTATGCGGAAGGAAAAAAAAAAGGAAACATCGATTTCATGAATTGATTCTGAAAAAACCTAGACAAAATCACGAAGATAAACAAAATAGCGGAGTAAAAAATCGAGAAAAACTCCACCCGATTACGCGCCATTGAAAACCTATTGGTGGAAAATGGAGGTGAAGTAGACGAAGAAGGAGAAAAAGTGATGAATCGAAGAAGACGAAGGATGTTTTTTTTTTTTGAAAATGACTGCGAAAGAGACTGAGTAAACATGTTTCTTCTTGTTTTCATGCGGATCTTAGAAAGAGGTAAGCCCATTGAGTTGAAATATCCAACAAATAGGCCCAAAAGCCTAGTTTCAGTATGGTGTGTGATTGTTGGGGTCCTGCCTGAACCAAAGAACAAGCTTTAGACTGATTTACCCACTGCAATAGTCAATCAAGATTCATCATATTCGGGGAACCCTTCTTGTTCTATAAGTATATTAGAGCATGTGCAACTGAGAAACTCAAAAAAGGTATCTAAAATTAATATAAAATAATTAATTAATTTGTAACTATTTAAAATTGGATATGGACTACATCATCTTTCATTTTTTTAAGAATCGATTCTTATGACTCCTAAATAAAGATCATTTCTTATTTTCTCTCTTATCTTTATATTATTTTATTGTTTAGAATCTTTTGAAATTTGCTTAAGATTCATGCGTTGCACATGGTCTTATGATTTATTTGGTAGATAATTTTATTCTTTGAATGTCCATGCACTTAATAAACTACCAATGGAAATTAACCTGTTTTGGTTCAATTATAATTGTTATACATATTCTTGATGATGGTAAAAAGCAAATTTGGTCCATGAAAATCAGGGTTTTGTGAATTGGATATTACATTGGTTATAGATTGGGACAAGCGATCATATAACCGTTCAGACTCAACATCAAAACTCACTATCACAAAGCTGTTCCAGTGTTGTGTTTTTGTAGATGTAATATCTTATATCTTATACAAACGATCATATAAGATATTACTTTCGAGACACCTCCACGAAAAAGAAGATTGTTTAACTTTTTCCAATGTACATACACTATGTTGATTAGATCCAGATAAGCTCATCATCCTGTGCAATATCTTGAACAAATCTTTGCTTGGATCGTATCCCAAGAACATAAAACATATATTATATAGTAAAGGCATCTGCATTGGTGAGAGACTCACATAAGTCTCTCATCAATTTAATAATAATAATTTTAATACAATTTAAGGGTTATCTGTTAAAAAACCCTCAAATTAAATTAATTTTGTAAGATTAAACCTCAACTCAAAAAAATGCAGGTCAATCTATTAATTTTTAAAGTCACCCGCTATATAACCTCTATATTGCCGACTTGGCTTTGGTAATTGTCTGTGAAAAAACTAACATAATTTAAACACTGCATTTTAGTGTAATAAAACAGCATGAAGTTTGATTATTTATTTTTGTTTTTTTTTAAAATGGGCGTTTGGGAATCGATTTGGAGAAAACCATTACAGCGATTCTTCAAGATAACTATACGCGGTTGAGAATCTGAGAATTCAAGTTTTTACGAACAGAGAATCTGACAGAATACAGTGTTTTTATTTTTTCAGATGAAACAAGGAACAGAAAATTTGGTTTATAGATGAAGAGACAGAGCACTAGATGTGTTTAATCAGGATCTAGTTGGTGCAAAAGGTTAACCTTGTGTCATTGACATTAGCAAGTGAAGAGGCATATATAAGAAAATAACTAACTCTCTCGATCCCAAAGATCGTCTCTTTGTTTAAGAAATTTCTGATTTTATTTATGAATTTGTTCGACAGGCGGCAACAAGAAAAAGGTGAGAAGAAGAAGCTTGATTTGTTACATCCGTCAATTTCAAGGTTAATAAAGCTCAAGGCTTTGAAAAAAGTTTCTCTCTTTTTATTAAACTTCTAAGAAAGAGAGTTTTGAGATTCTTTAAATTTTTGCAGATTTTAAAAAGCTGAAGCCATATTTATTTTTGACGAAGAGGAGGGGAACAAAGCTTCCTAATAATAATGATGATGATCAAATGGAATTGCAATGACTGTATATGGGAAGCTATGAGGCTTGAGCTTCTTCCTCTTTCTTTCGTAAGCGCCAAGCCCTAATTTTTTTCCCAAATTGACTTTATATTTTGCTGAGGAATAAGACATTTCTACTTAAAAAAACAACAGGATTTTTTGTTTTTTCAAACCAAAACAACATGAATTTTAAGCAGTTTACAATAACACAAAACACAGCATTTTGATATCCGTTATCATTATAGTGACCACTTCACGGAGGGGTTATATAGCGGGTGACTTTAAAGATTAATAGATTGACCTGTATTTTTTGGGCTAGGGGTTAATTTTGCAAAATTAATTTAGTTTGAGAGTTTTTTAGCAGAAAACCTATAATTTAATGGGCAATTTCCATAATTACATTGAAAATAAGTTTTCAGGACAAATATAAAAGGGAAGCCAAAAATTTTCTACTCCTAACATTTTTCATTTAAGTTTTTCGATTTTACCCTTAGGAAAGTCTTCCTAAAAGTTTTTTTCTGTTAATATTTCGTGATTTGTTTAGAAAGATCTTCCAAATACTAGAATTTAACATCGTTTCATATGGTTTAGGAAAGCTTTCCTAAATTTTTTAAAATTTCCTGAATTGTGGAAAGACTTCCTGAATTGTGAAAGAGTTTCCTGAATTGTGAAAATGTTTCTTGAATTTGAGTTGTATAAATTAAAAAAAATAATAATCAATTATACGATTATACGATTTTCGAAGGCATTCCTAAATATATGTAATGACTTCTTTTATTTATACATTTTAGGAAAGTCTTCCTAAAACTTTAGAATATCTTCCAAAATTTACGTTCATCTCCTTCTTCACCTCTGCGACATCCAAACCCTAATTTCCACCGATTTTTTTTTCCACCACTGTTGCTGTTTTAGCTCGGGTTTCTTGAGTTTTTCACCTAATTATATCAGATATATCTATCATTATATGATTTTGAGCTTTAAATTTTGAAATCACTTTCCTATAAAAAAACCCCAAAAATATTAGAGGTCCACAATTACAAATCACAATCAAATGAGAAGAGTGATCCTAAACAAAACAAATGATTCAAATTTCAGATCAGTCTTGGCCATTGATACATTTATTTGTACATTATTTTTTTTCTTTTTATTAACTAATATTTTGTCTAACTAAGATTAATATGGTACAAAATGTTATGGATGGAATTTTTTAGAGTGTTAGTGTATATGTAGAACAAAAACTTATATTAAGTGCATTTGAGAGAATTTCTCTAATTTAATTGTATTAATTAATTTTAAATTTGGAGTAAAGTTTAAACCAATTATATAAAGATAATACATAAGGTGAGTCTCTCACAGGTCTCTCATAATCTCTCAAATGAAAAACTCTCTCCATTCTCTTTTTTTTTAAGTTTATTAATTTTTTGTTTTGAGAGACTTGGTGAAAAACTACCAATGCAGGTTGTCTAAGTGCAGCTCCAATGGTTAGATACTCATTTGAGTATCTCAACCAATATAATACTAATAGTTTTTATATAATTTTATTTTCTAATTAATTAATAAGTTAAAAAGAAAATTTAACCAATCAAAAAGAAACAAATAGTAGAACAGAGTATCTGAAATTTTTTATTTAAGAGACTCATTTCTCTTTCCTTCATCTTTTTCTATTATTTTACTATTTTAAAATTTGAGATTCTCTTAAGAGACTCTCACTGGAGGTGGTCTTACCAAGACAGGTCAGGCCATTAGAGCATCAGCATCGCAGAAATGATGGAAAGCTTTTAATTTTTTTTTAATATTAAAAAAAATTATTTTTTGTTAAAAAGAAAAAACAAAACAAAAAAACAATATCTGACAAATCTTATTCTACCACGTTAGAAGAGAGTCGCCTCTTCCACCTCTGTGCAGAGAGGCGCTTCTAATTTTTAGTCATGCCACATCATTAATTTTTTTTTTCTTTTTCTTTTGCTTTAGAACTCTTTAGAATATGACCATTACAGATGCTCTTAGGTATCCTTAATAGTTGTCTTGTAGTAGGATTACATAAAAGGTATTATCCAAAGAAAGACATACAAATGATGCAACAGACAAAATTTTGGAAGTTCATGCTATTACGAGGATTGATACTTGAGTCAGCAAACTCGTCATGTTTTGTTACCATTGATGCTGATGATGAACTTTTTGATTCTTGTGGATGAAAAGGTGAAGAGAGAAAGAGCAACTGATTCTCATTACAGTGATCGATATGTGTAGGACCAACTCTCTGTTGCCATCTTCACGAAGATCCCCACCGAAAGGGAAGCCTCCCGCAAATGGAAGTATTACAATTAATGTGTTCACCAGCTATTTTTGCTGAGAGATAAAATACAAAAGATTCGAAATACGACCCAAACCATTTTTAAATAAATGTTCACAACCATATATGTTGAAATAAATCGATTTCATGGCGCCACATCATTTGCACAAACTTATTTTACACCAAGAATTTACACGTAAGTATTTTGTTTAGACCATTCTCATCGGTCAGTATTTTAAATTGGATTCTAATGCATACTTTTATTAATATATATTCATAATTTAATTAATTATTAAATATAAACTGATTGATCCAGTTATAGAAAGACATGTGGTAAAAACTTAGTTAAAAACATATCTAAAACTTCTTAAATGAGAGACGTTTCTTGTCTCTCTCCTATTTTTTTATTATTTTTTTATTTTTAATGCTAAGAGACGCTTTACAAACTGTCGCTGGAGAGTCCAACATCGATTATTCAATATTAATGATGGGCGACTCTAGGGTTTTGGAGGCGGAAAATCAGGATGCGACCATGACGGAAATCGACGAGAAAACATGGCCACCAGGAGATCCCCCGGATGGGGGGAGTTCATGGGCGTCGAAGGTAGGGGGTACGAGTGTAGGGGGAAGGCTAGTTCCGGAGGATGTGTTAGATGATGGATTTGTGGCAGAACGGGTGCATGTAGTGTTTCCGAATGGAGAGGATGGTGAGCCAGAAATTACTATAGAGAGAGAGGTGCTAGATGCTATGAATGGTCTATGGAAAAGATGTATGATCGTGAGAGTCCTGGGACGGAACGTTGAGATTTCTTCCTTGAGTAGGAAGTTACGGGAGATCTGGAAACCAAAGAAAGGAATGTCGGTGATTGACTTGCCCCGTCAGTTCTTCATGGTGAGGTTTGAGGATGATGAGGAATACTTAGCAGCATTGATGGGAGGTCCATGGAGAGCCTTCGGAAGCCATCTGATGGTGCAGGACTGGTCACCGGATTTTGATCCGCTAAG